CCCTGTCCTTTTAGACCTGCAGTCCCCAAACACCAGGCCGTGGCCCAGTACCAGTCTGTGGCCTATTAGGAAACAGACCATGTTCACCGCCTGAGCTCCACGCACCCACCATGACACCCATGCCCCCCACCCCTGATCCATAGAAAAATTATCTTTCGTGAAACCAGTTCTTGGTGCTAAAAAGGTTGGGGACTGCTACTGTAGACCACCTTCCATCCACCCGTCCCTCTGGGTCTAAGCCTGGCCTGTGCCCGATGGACCTCAGCGCTGGGCTGACATCCTTCCCAACCATCAGGGAGGGAGAGGGGGCAGGCACACACACAAGGCATGTGCCACATCTGTCACACCTTGCTGTTGGGGGCCCCAAGACCCAGCAGGGAAAGCCTGGCCTCGGCTGCCCCTGGCTCTGCTACTCGCTGGCTGTGGGGCGTGGGTGAGTCCCCTGCCTTCCCCGGCCAGCTGCCGCCTCTGTCCAGCGGGGACGATAAGGGCACTTTCCTCGTAGGTCGAGGCCCCTAGGGGACGGGGCCAACAACAGGGGGACAGAGAACTGAGGCCACTATTGAGTGTGGGGTGCAGCCCCTATCCTCCCCTGGGAGGGATGGGGGGGTCCTGCGTTAGCTCTCTGGGGCCAGAGGCCTCCCCGTCCCCCCTTGTTTTGCAGATGAAGAAACTGGAGCCCAGAGAGGAGAAATGAGTTGCCCAAGCTCACCCGGGCGGCACTGGAGGTTCCGGCTGAAGCAGGGCCCCACCTCCCGCAGTTGGTGGAGGCGCCCCACCCTGGGGCTGATAAGGAGCCTTCTTCCTGGCCAGTAGCTGGCAATCGCCTGGGCAGGGAGCCAGGCCCGGGCTGAGAATCCCAGCACAGTCTGAATGGAGCTGCTCCCCCGACAGCAAGGGGTCCCCACGGAGGGCAGGCACAGAACCCCCTCCTAGCACCCAGGCCAGTCCCTCCTCCTCAGAGAGATGAGCCGCTGCCGCCGCACCCCACGCAGGGCTTCTGCCGGCCCAGCGGGAGAGGGAGGGAGAAGCTCACCCCCGGGCTTTTCTAAGGGAAAATCCAGAGATGTTGGGAGCCAGAGCTGTGGTGGCCGGGTCCCTTTGGCGCCTGATCTTGACCCCAGACAAAAGGACCGGTCCCTTTCCCAGCTGCCCCTGCGGCAGTTAGACTAGGTGGTTCCAGGACACGAGCTGCTTGGGATGGGGAGTGCGGTGGGTGCTGAGCGTGTCTGAGCCATTTTGGGGTCCCTGTGCACCCACCTTTCTCCCTGACACGCACACTGCACGCTGTGTGCTGGGGGGTGGCAGACCCGCCATGAGGGAGGAGGGAAACGAGGGAGGGAGGAAGGAAGTCAGGCAGTCCTTCTCCGATCCATGTCCCTTTCACACCACCGTCTCCTTTGAGGAGCCAGGTTGTGGACGGGCAGATCAACTGACGGGCAGGCAGACTCGCCAGGAGCACACGCATGTGCTTCTGCTACAGCCTGGGCACTGGCTCTGGCCCTCCAGAAAGCAGACTGGCTTGGAGGACATCTCATTTGGGGATATTGTCACATCCAAAGTGCACCCCAATGACCCAAATTCATTTTCCTGCTAATAATTCTGTGAGAGCGAGTCAGCCAGCTGATGGGGTCATCGTTTCATTCATTGGTTCTAAAATGCGTGATCCGAGGCCTGTGCTCTCCCATCTTCGGCCCCAGCTGCGGCATCCTCAGGGCCAGACACCTGTCTGTTCTAGGCATTGTGGGGGTGGGGGTGGGGGAGGCAGCAGGGCGGAGGTCAGAGTTCCACACACTGGAGTTCAGCAGGGTTTTCTTCACAACAGCCCTGTGAGGTAGGTACTAGAGTCCCCATTTTACAGATAAGAAAACTGAGGCCCTGGAAGTTGAGTATCAAGGTCACACACAAGTCATTCCCATGTCTGCTGGCAGCTGGGAAGGAGGCTCCCCAAAGTCTGGGGCCTTGGCCCCAAGCCCTCTCGAAGACTCCAGCACTTGAAATCCGCCAGTCCTGCCTTATAAGCCCAAAGGCCGGGTGGCCGGCTTGGATACTGGGCAGGGCCTTGTAGGGAGACAAAGCCCTGCTGCCAAGTGCTCGGCCCCAAGACAGCCTCCCCAGCCTGGCTAAATTTAGCTGTGAGCGTGGAGGGGGCCGGTGCCCGTCATGGAGCCACTGCCCAGGCCTGGAGGCCAGCTCGAGCCCTCCAGGGAGTGGGCACGGGCTCCAACAGGTCTCCAGAGCCACTCAGGGGCCCAGGGTGCAGGCCCACACTCAGTCCGAGCCCCCACACCTTCTGGGCCTGCCTCAGTGTCCCGGGGACTCCCCCAATGCCACACAGCCCCTCAGATGCCGCCTGGAACAGAGGAGGCTGAGGGAGGGCAGTGGCTTCCTATGGGGGACCCTGGGGCTGCAGCAGTGGCCCCCGGGCTTGGCTTCTCCCCAAGGCTCGGATCTTGCAAGAGTCTAAAGTGCCTCATCCTCCTGGTCCTCCCCCCGTTGTCTGGGCCACTTCCCCTCAGTCCCCAGCCTCTTGCTGCCCTGGATCAAGAGCACTCCTGGGGTGGCCAAGGCCCTTCCCCTCACACACTGAGCACTCGCTCTGGAGGTGCCGTCTCCTCCCCAGCGTCCCGTCCCGATGGTGCTGGCACCTCTATACCCACTGGCAGCCACATGCCCACCTGCTGCCTCTCTGGCTCCTGCCTTTTTTTTCCTTTTAAATCAAACTGTATTGAGGTGTAACACATACAATAAAATGCACCCACTCAGGCACACAGTTTGATGAGCTTTGACAAATGCTCAAAGCCATCCCCCAAATGCATCACCCTAGAACGTTCCCCCCTGCCTCTTTGTGGTCTATCTTCCTCCACCCCCAGGCCTGGGCAATCACTGATCTGCTTTGTTGCTACTGATCAGTTCTCTAGAACGGCAAGTGGAACCACTCAGCGGGAGCTGTGCTCTGTGTCGGGATTCTCTCACCCTGCCCGATGGTTTTAAGCAGGCATCCTCAAACCATGGCCCTGCAGGCCACATGCAACCCGCCAAGGACATTTATCTGGCTTGCCCAGTGTTTTTGCCACCGCTGCCTGTCCTGCTTAGCAGCCGACTCGTCCTGGGCCCACAGTGCGCATGTGTGGAACGTGCGCCACACTCTCCAACTGCCCTCTAACGGCCCGAGGGACAGTGAACCGGCCCCCTGTTTAAGAAGTTTGAGGACCCCTGGTTTTAAGCATCATCCATGTGACTGCCTACATGGGTAGCTCGCTCCTTCTTATCAAGGGGAATTGTGTTGTGCGGACATAACACGGTTTGTTTGTCCTTCATCTGCTGAGGGATATCTGGGGCCTGTAACGGATCAAGCCGCTGTGGACACTCAGGCGCAGGCCTTCGTGCGCACAGTCGCTTTCTCCTCGCTGCCTCTGCCATTCCATTCCCTGACCCTTCCAGCCCCGACCTGGTCCCTCCCACATCGGTGAGGGGACGGGGGTCTGGGGAGCACAGAGCCCTGGTCTCTGGCGGGGCAGGGGCCCCATGGGCATTTTGGCAGCTGCAGTGAGAAGTGTGCCGGGGCCTGCCCGGGAATTCCCTCCTGGGCGAGCAGCTGTGAGGTGAGGCGACCTCTGTTTACCTTGGCCGCCTGCGCCGGCCTGCGGACGCCATGCTGTGGGCCGGACAGAGCTGGGCTGCGCAGGCCCGGGTGGGGCTGGAGGCAACACCGCAGGGAAGGCCAGAGACTCACATGCCTGCCCCCGGCCCATCTTAGCTCCACACTCCGTCTGGAGACCACCATGTGGCACACCAGACCTTCAGAGGGACCCGGGCGAGGCACAGCCGCTTCTGGGCCTTGGGCGCCTCATCTGTAAAATGGAGCCATAGCCCCTGCTCGGCCCATCTCACAGGGCTGGTTGAAACCTGGGATGGGAGGTGTATGAAAGGGTTCTGTGTGGTCTGAAAGGTCTTACAGAGGGAGCCTGTGGAAGGTTGAATCCTTCTGCCCACGCGCTGCTGCTGTGAGCTGCGTTCAAGCCCTGACCCCCACCCCCAAAGAATCGTGGGCACTCCCTAGGGGCCTTCCTCCTCTGTCTCAGCTGGCTTCATGGACCTGCAACCTGTGCGGCCGCACCAGGCCTGTGCTCAGAGCGGCTCTGTGCTTGGGTTAATGTTCTGCAGTTGCTGTGATCCAGGGGTCCAGGTGTTCATTTTGCGATGGGCCCTGCAAACCATGTAGTCAGTCCTGCCGCTAGTCCTGTGGGCAGGCCTGAGTCTCCTTCCTAGGACAGATGGGTAGAGGATTAGACGCCAGACTTCCTGAAATCTTCCCTCCAGCTGAGGGAAATGAGGGACACAGGGGATGTGGCTACTCCCTTCCCAGAGCCCCTGTTCCCAGGCAGGTAGGGCCACCTGGGTGCCTTGGTTCTCTCGAAGAGGCCCCTGGGCATTGTGACCAGAGTGAAGCCATGGGGAGGTGGGAGGTGGCCTTGAGCTGGGCTTGGAAGGGCCAGAGGTGGGTGGGATCCTGGGGTTCGGGGAGGGGAGGGAAACAGCAAGAGAGAAACCTCAGGGAGAGCTGAAAGGACCTACAGAACAGCCAGGCTGGGCCCTCTTTGGGGTGCAAGGGGCCCTTGAGATTCGGGGTCTAGGACCAGCCCTGCCCAGGCCCCATCACGGACCCCTCCCAGCCTTGGTTTCCTCGCTGGTGACATGCAAGTCATAAAGTGCAGAAAAGGCCTTTGAACGTGCACACCAACTTTCAGAGCTGTCCATGTGCGGGGCAAGTGACCGAGGCTGGTGAAGGCCCCCTGCCCTGCACCTGCCGCTCAGGCGAGGCTATGGAAACGCCAGAGCCTCTTCAGAGTCCTGTCTTGGAGGCCAAGAGGATGATCCTCTTGAGGTGGGAGCCCCAGACCTTCCCCCAGGATTTCCTGGGGTGGGGGTGGGGCAGGTGGCAGCTAGATGCCTAGTGGGCAGAGATGTGGGAACACACACACCAGGAACATACGCCGTGCAAGGAACACAACCTTTATTTCCCTAACAAACAGCACGTCAGCAGGGCGGTACAGGGCTCTGCCCCAGCTAAGACCTCCCCCCACCCCAGGAAAGAAGCAGAGAATCTCTGCTGCAGCAGAACCACCCCCCACCCAAACTGCGAGAGAGGGGAGGGGCAGGGGGCTGCAGAACGTGGAGACCATTTGCCTGCCAGGCAGGCTAAGAGGGCTTGGGATTCTGGGGATCAGGATAAAAACGTGAGTCTTGATTTATGTATAAAATAATCACTTTGTACACTCTCTAGGAGGGGCAAAGATACATGGACAGTCATTACTCACTGTCTTCTGCTACACCTAGCTAGCTTTTGTCAAAGGAATAAAAGCTGAGTTAAGAGAAAAAGTCTGTCCATCTAATGCCGTATCATCTGACCCGATCCATGCAGGATCCACGCAGCGATGCGTTCCTCCATCAGGGAGTGGGGAGGGGAAGTGCCCCTGGGTCATTAGCCATCCTCAGTGACATCCTTTTGGCTCACGGGGGTTTGTGGGGAGCAAAGAGTGAGGCTGGGAGCCCAGGAGCAACCACCAGTCACCCCACTGTGCAGACAGCATGATGGCCACCCTCCGGGGTGGGGGAAAGGGCACAGTGGTCAGGGACCCGAGGATGTCCAGGGTCACAGGCACCAGGGACAGGGATGGCACTTACAATCTCTGCTCGGCAGACCAGGCCACACCCAGACTCTGTAACGTCTCATTTGCTTGGGGCAGGGAGACCTGAGTTCGGGAAGTGAGGCGGCTGAGGCAGGCAGACCAGCCCGTCTCCTGGGAAAGGGGGTCCTCGCCCTGCCCCTCCTCCCTGTGCCTTGTGTCCCTCTCTCTGACCCGTCAACCCCCTGGGGCCTGCACATATAAACAGAAACAGGCTCAAGCTCTCAGGAGCCGACTTCGTGGAGGCAGAGCGGAGTGGAGGGGGCTGCCCGCCCTGGCTCTGCACAGCTGGGCCCACATGGCCCCCTTCGACTCCTCCGCAGGGCTAACCAGGCTCCAGCACAGGCACTGGGGGAGAGGTCAGAGCCAGGGAGAGGGGCCCCAGGAGTCCTCCATCAGCGCAGAGGCACCAGTCACCAAGCAAACGCCCAGCCTCCAAGCCGGGGGGAGCGGGCTCCGGAATGTGCCTGAGCACGTGGGCGGAGAGGGGCTCTGGACCTCTGGATCTGTTGCCAGCTCTGGCTTGGGGCCCGTCACGTGTCCAGCAGGGCCCGGTGGGCAAGTGGGCGAGCGCGGTGGCAGGGCGGGGCGTGGGGGCGAACGCTGGGCACCGTCAGTCCGAGGTACACACGGGAGACTCCACTCTGTTCCCAGCACTCACTTTTGCTTCTTGTCTTCTGGAAGGAAAACCCGAGAGCATGTTAAGATGCGTGTGTAAGAGCACACATCCAGGCTGACTCCTTCCGGCCCCTTCCTCCTTCAATTTCTCCCAGAATACCACCCCCCCTGCCTCCCTTGCTCCAGACCTCTGTCTGCCCCAGCCCTGCTGGCCCCATGAGCTGCTGCCCGGAACCCGGTTGCTCACTGGGTGCCCCCAGGCCTCGTTCATGCCACACATGCCTCTGTCAACACCCCCAACCCACCACGGTGAATATTATCCTCTTGGCTTTTAGTTTGGGGACCCGCCACCCACCATCAAGCCCAGAAATCAGAGTCAGCCTAGCCTCCCCCACCCACTCCACATCCAGCCTGATTTCAGCCACCTCTCGTCCTCTGCTGCCCACCAGGCCTCCAGGCCTCTTGGTCCTGCCCCCAGCCCCAGTCTCGCCTCCCCATCACCCTTCTGCCCCTGGCATCGCGGGAAAGCCCGAACCCGCCCATCATCCCCTTTCATGGCTCCTCACCGGCCTCAGAGTAAAGCCCAAACCCGCCTGGTACCCCGGACCCTCCCAGGTCTTCCCCACTCAGCCTCTCTGGCCCCCGGCCCCACAGCCCAGCCCACAGGCCTCCCTGACAGCCGCTCAGCCACACCTGGGCAGAGCCAGGAGGCGGGGCAAGAGGACCCCCCAAACCCCTGGGGCTGACCCACATCCCTGATTCTCCCTCATAAATCATTGGGGAGCCATAGCGTCAGGCCTCAGCAAAACTTCCCTAAAAGGCCACCCGGCTGCCTTGAGAGCAAAGGGTCCCCTCTCTCACCCCCGCCCCGTCTGGCTTTAGGAGGCCCGAGGGACTGCAGAACTGGGCAGAGCTGCCTGGGCTCCCAGGGAGCACGTTCCTGGGGGCCCCTCCACCCCACCTCTCAGATGTGGCCACAGGTGCCCCGCCCATGTCCGTTCTGTGGGTCCCACACCACTCCAGCAGCCCAGCATGTCAAACTTCAAAGGACCATGGTCAATTTCTCAGGTCCATGGTGGAGGCAGAGGCGTTGCCTGGGACCCAGCTCATCAGGGCTGGGACTCTGTCTCCTCCCCAGACCGCTCAACCCCACTCACCAGCCTCCCTGCTTTAGTCTCACACCTCCTGCCTGCCCTCTAGGGCCGACATGTCCCTCCCATGCTTATACCCCTCCTGTGCCTCCCACTGCCCTGAGGGTAATGTCCAGGGTCCCTCCCTAGGCATGCAAGGCCCTTGCCACCCTCTAGGCCTCACCTCTCTGCCCTGTACTCTCGGCTCCAGCAGCAGTGCTCACCAGCCCTGTTCCACCAGGTTCAATTCCATCCTTTCTACCCTCTGCTTTAACCTGGAATCTTCTAGAAATCATCCCTTACTCCAGGCCTGGCAGGACTTGCTCCCTCCCAGCGCCTCTACCCTGCCCACTCCTGCTAGGGGCCCTCTCCTTCCTCCCATGAGGCCCAGGAATCTGCCAATGTCCAGCAGCCAATGCTGAAAGGCATCCCAGACATAAGCTTTTCTCCACGCTTAGGAATTTTAGCCACGGGCAGAACTGTGTCACTTTTTTTTTTGAGACAGGGTCTTACTCTGTCACCTGGGCCAGAGTGCCATGGTATCATCATAGGTCACTGCAACCTGAAACTCCTAGGCTCAAGCGACCCTCCTGCCTCAGTCTCCCGAGTAGTTGGGATTATAGGCATGCATGTGCTACCACACCCAGTTAATTTTTCTATTTTTTAGTAGAGATGGGGGTCTTGCTATGTTGCCCAGGCTGGTCTTGAACTCCTGACCTCAAGTGATCCTGCCACCCTGGCCTTCCAAAGGGCTAGGATTACAGGCATGAGCCACAGTGCCCAGCCAGAATTTTGTCACTTTTTTATAAATTTTCTCAAAATCTGTTCAGTTCCCTGGCAGTTGTGGCCACTAGGGAAGTCTCTTGAGAAAGACAAAGAAGCCATGGAGCTAACCATGTTCCCAGGAGGGCAGGCCTGGCAGGTGAATGAGTGTGGTCAAAGTTGGTCAGAGGATTTCTTGGTGCTCTGGCCAGAGACGGGATGCCTCCCTTGGGCCCCCGAGGATGGAATTTCTGGCGTCAGACCCATTTCCTCCTCTCTGCAACTCCCAGGGGGTGACACAGAGGGTAGGCCAGAAAAGAACCGTGCAGGGGGCAGAACCCAGCTCCCAACACCACCATGGACCCCAACAGGCCTTGCTTCAGCTGAGTACCCACCACCCTTGGGTGAGCCCCCGATATGAGTCTGGCCACTCCCTGGACAGACGCATGGTAGGGCAGCTCCACTGCTCAGTCCCTATGGAAGGACAGCACATGACCTATTTACAGGCACCCCCGCCCCTCCCCGGGGGCCAGTACACATTCCTGCCAGAGGTGGCCCCCAACAACCTGGCTGCCCAAGGCCGGCCTCAGCCACTGCCTGGCCCAAGCCGGGCCCCTCCACAGCAGTCCGGCCACATGGCCACTGCCTGTCTGCAAATTCCCGGGGAACAGGAGCTCACCCTGCTTCCTCCCTCACTGAGCAGCTCTGACAAAGAGAACAATCTTGCCTCCCTTGCCCTCGCCCTCGGGAAGTTTAGAATCCCCACTCTCTGAGCCCACTGGGATAGGTGGAGGGACCCCATGCCCCAGCCTGTTCCTCCCCACCTGACCACTGCTGCTGTGTCCCCACAGCTGCACCGAAGCAGACCCAGTGCTGTGAGCCTAGGAACAGAGAACCCTCGCCCCGCCCCCGCCCACAAGGTGACACCGAAGAGGCCAACCCGGTGGGGTCCGGGGTCCGGGAGGTGGTCAGCGGCTGCCTACTCCAGGCCCGGGAGACTGTCCTGAGAATGCCTGGATAAAGACAGGCCAGGGCAGAAAGGTCAGAGGCCAAGGCCCAGCGCAGGCCACAGCATCCTGGCCGTGCGGGAGGTGGTGGCAGGTGAGGACGGCGAGGCAGCGTGGCCTGAGCAGTGCTCCCATCGGCAGCCCAGTGAGCCCAGGACCCCTGCAGCGTGAGACCCTGCAGACACCTCAGGCCACAGCCACCAGAGCCCCTTCGCATCCTCCACTTTGTGATCCAAGAACACGTCTCCCTCTGCACAGAAAGGGGGGCTCCGCGCACCGCGTCCTCGCTGCAGCCCAGAGGCAGGGGCAGGTGGGCAGGCAGGCTGGAGGCCAGCAGGGAGCAGGGCCGGCAGGCCTGGGGCCTCCCACTCACCGTCCATGTGGTTCCGGGACAGGTACTTGAGGGCCTCGTCCAGCAGGATGACAGGCAGGGATATCTGCAGCACCACCACCCACTGGCGCCCGCTCAGAGGGGTCACCTGGAAAATGAGCTGGCGGGAGGGGAAGGGAGGTCTGCTCAAAGCGCTGCCCTGTGCCCCAGCCGTCCACCCGCTTCTCCCACCCGGGCGCCAATGGACTCTTGATGAGCACTTCTAAGATGTCCCTTGAGGTCCCACCCCCAGTTGCCCAGTTTCCTCTGCCTGCAGTGCCCTCCCTGTCCCTGCCCTCAGGATCAAGCCTCCTCCCCAGGGCTCTGCCTTGGGAGAGAGCGTGGCCTCCCTCCCACCCCAGCCAGTCTCTGCCTCTTCTGTCCCCCAAGTCTGGGAGCTCCTGTAGGTTAAAGACACATCTGGAGGGTGGTGGCCAGCCAGACCTCTCAGGTCCCTGTCCTGCAGGTGGTTTCACTGCAGAGGGCTCCAGAAAGGCGTGGTGACCAGCCCAGGGCCTGTGATGTCTGGGCACCATGTGCTCCCGGCTCCCCAGGAAATGGAGTAGGGGGCAGGGAGACTCACGGGCAGGGGTGGCACGAGCAGGATGAGGAAGTGCAGGGCCATGGACATGGCCACAGCTGCCAGCAGCCAGGGGTTCAGCCAGGGCGGCATCCGCAGCAGTGATTGGTTCTCCGAGACACTGCCAAGGGCACGGGGCACTCAGCTCAGGATAGGACACGGAGGCCCAGCGGTGGCTCCGCCCCGTGTGGAAGAGCCTGTCCTGGGCTGGGACCCCTTTCTCTGTCCCTCAGACCCAATCTTGGCCTTTCTATTTCTTCAGACCCCAGGCTCAGCCCTTGTCCCTAAGACCCCGATTCTGGCCTCCACTGTCTCCCGGAATCCCCCTCTGGACCCCCCTGACCCTCAGGCCCCAATCATGGACCCCTGGGCCCCCTAGCTCCCACTCCTAAGCCTCAGCCCCCACTCCTCAACTCCAGCTCCCGACCCCCTGCCCAGCCCACCTGTTGAGGGCGTTGCACATCTCAATGGTCACGAGCACAGACAAGGCCATGGTGGTGGGGAAGCGGGACTCGAAGACCTCGCAGTCAACGCCGGCGAACAGGGGGTTGTCTTCGGAGCACTTCAGGAAGTTCCTCTGAGGACACGGGGATGGGGTCAGGGACAGCAGCCGGTCAGGGAGTGGCTGGGGGTGAAGGGGAGAGGCCTCACCCTGCCCTCGGCCCACACCTGAGCACAGCCAACGGACAAAGCACTCCCACAGGGGGCCCGGGAGCCCGGGTGGGGTGCTCCCCCCCAGGAAGGAGGGCACAGGGCTGCATGGCGCCAGGGAGAAGCTGGGCACAGAGCAGGAAGTGTAGACTGTTCTGGGCAGGGATCGGTGGATCAGAGGGAGAACAGATGGCATTAGGCAGGGGCCCTGGGGCTGGGGGAGGATGGACTTTACCCAGAGGGCGCATGGGGCCCTGCGGTGCAGGAGGTGGAGGCAGTAATGAACGGAGACCACCAAATAGGAAAACGCACATGAAAGTCAAAAACAACAAACTCAGGCCTGAATGGAATTCAACTTTGTGGTATAGAAGATGAGGTGCCCTATTCACGGTTATTAAATAGACTCCATTCACACGTCGCGCCATTTCTGCCGCTGAAATCCGGCCCTACCAGGTCTGGTTTTCGCTCGTGACACAGACTCACGAATCGCCAGAGCGCAGCCTCAACACACACAGGGCTTCTCCATAATTAGTAAGACGCTGTCAGGCCCAGATAAAGGAAGTGGCCTTTGCCTCTCTAACCCCAGGGGACAGTTTTCTTTCTGCTCATAAACCTTATTCGCAGAATCCGCTGAGATAAGGGGCTGGACTGAGGACATTTGGGAGCACTGCTGTCTTGTTCTCTTCCTCTTCATGGGGATGAGCATGAATGTTGCCAACCGTTAACCAGCTCAGTTCTCCAGTGATAGAAATCTGTTCTTGGGTGTCTAATCTGAACACAGAGATCTTTTTTTTTCCTTTATTGTTTTGCAGACAATCTTGCCAGCTGGATGCAGTGGCGCCACTATAGCTCACTGCAACCTCGAACTCCTGAGCTCAACTCTTCCGGCCTCGGCTGGGACTACAGGCACCACCACATCCAGCTAATTTTTCTATTTTTTGTAGAAATGAGGTCTTGCTCTTGCTCAGGCTGGTCTCAAACTCCTGGCCTCAAGCGATCCTCCGGCCTCAGCCTCCCAAAGCGGTAGGATTACAGGCATGAGCCACCTTACACAGCCTGAACACAGGGATCTTGTTTTTTTTTTAAAGACAGAGTCTCGCTTTGTTGCCCAGGCTAGAGTGAGTGCCGTGGAGCCTAGCTCACAGCAACCTCAAACTCCTGGGCTCAAGCGATCCTCTTGCCTCAGCCTCCTGAGTAGCTGGACTACAGGCATGCCGCCACCATGCCGGCTAATTTTTCTATATACTTTTAGTTGCCAATTAAATTTTTTATTATAGGTAACAGGTCTCGCTCAGGCGTAACTTCTGACCTGGAGCAATCCGCCCGCCTCGGCCTCCCAGAGTGCTAGGATTACAGGTGTGAGCCTCCTCACCTGGCCAACACAGGGATCTTTTAAACTAACGGTTTAGGAATCGGGGCTGTGTGCTGTGTGCTGTGAAAATATTAATAATCCTCAAAGTGTTCTGTAAGACGACCGGCTCTCTGACCTGTGGTCAGTCCAGTAAATACACCCACACGCGTGTTTCCCCACAATGCATACATGCAGATAGGGCAACGGCGCACCTTCCTCTTCTCTCTCACGCAGGAAGACACATAACAAAAGACTATGGTTGGCTAGATTCTTATCTGAACAAAGAGATGAAGAATCTTGTCTCTTTAAAATCAACAGTAGGAGTTGTCCCCAAAACTCAAGCTACAACATTTGGGGCAAGTGCACATGTTTTTATTTGGTGCTGAGAAAATGTCCTAAACTTTGAACCTAGTTCTACCCACCCAATGACCAAGAGGAACGACTCCTCTTGCAGGTGTGCTACAAGCCCTGAGCCCCCGCCCTCCCAGATCGTGGTGGTTTATGCACACATGTACACACAAACACAGGGACACACACCTCCCACTTGGTCACATGCATGCTTTACACCCTGAGGCACATGGATGACAATACCAACAGGATCATACATAGATGTTTAGACAGATCTGCTGCTTTTGCCATAAACACCCTACCTAGTGCGGACTTTCTGGGTTTCATCGGTGAGCACCTGTCGCACACACACATTATGCCCCAGGTCAGGGTTACAGACCGAATCGTTCATTAGGTCTCAGGGACGGAACTTCTGTCTCAGAGGTGCATGGGATCCCTTGTTGGAGCCCATTTCTCCAGAATCGTTCATTAGAAGGTGCTCAGGGCTGATCAAGGTGGCTCACGCCTGTAATCCTAGCACTCTGGGAGACCGAGGCAGGAAGATTGCTTGAGGTTAGGAGTTCAAGACTAGCCTGAGCAAGAGCAAAACCCTGTCTCTACTAAAAATGGAAAAAAAAATTAGCCGGGCATCGTGGTGCACACTTGTAGTCCCGGCTACTCGGGAGGCCGAGGCAGGAGGATCGCTTGAGCCCAGGAGTTTGAGGTTGTGAGCTAGGCTGATGCCACGGCACTCTTCTCCAGTCTGGGCAATAGAATGAGACTCTGTCTCAAAAACAAAAAAACGGAAAAGAAAAGAAGGTGCTCAGGGATGGAACTTCTGTCTCAGAGGAGCACGGGAGCCCCTGTCGGAGCCCATGTCTACTGGCGAAGCCACTGTTCTGCCTGCCCTTTGCCTGCCTGCTGCCTATTTCCTATTCACTGCAAGGTCCCCTTTAGGTTTTATTAACTTAATTGACACTTAAATAGCTCTTATTATGCAACAGGTGCCATCGTAAGTATTTTATAAGTATTGACTCAGTTCATGCTCTCGAGAACCCTATGAGGTAGGAACAATTATTTCCCATTTTACAGATGAGGAAACCAAGGCACAGAGAGGTTAAGTAACCTGCCCCAAATCACACAGCTAGCATGTAGTGAAACTAGGGTGTGAACCTAAGCAACTGGATCCAGGCTCCATGCCACCTGCTCTTAACCACTCTGCTGCCTCTTGGTGGCTTCTTCCTGGAACCATGGGGCTCCAGACCCCTCTCCTGAAATTCCAACAACAACTCAAGCTCAAAGTTCTACCTGATTGGTGGTGAGTGTGGGAGAGAGGTGGGAATCTAGCTAGCATCACTCCCGGGTGTCCGGCATGGGTGACCTGGCAGGCAGTGGAACTGGGATGGAGGTGGAGGAGAGGGATGGGTTTGGGGACAAGGTGACAGGCTGGGTTTGGGACTCTGGGTTTGCAACAGACCTGTGGGACATCACAGAGGAGGTATCTAGCCGGATATATGGGGCTGAGGCTCAGAAGAGAGAAGGGGGCGGTGCATCCTGAGAGATTTGGGATCCTTAGTAGGAAGCATGGTAGCAGGGACAGGGCTGGAAGAAGGCAGCACGTCCCCCACTCTCCACTCTGCTGCTCCCACAGGAGCCAAATGAGCAGAGGCGTCCAGGCTGACCCGAGCTTCCTGACCCCAGGGCTGGGAGGGGCCAGCCTTTGGGACGGGGCCCTCGGCTCTGCACTGCTGCCAGAAGGGACTGCCCCCAGGCCTGAGGGCTGGTGGGTGACAGGCAAGTGGCCCCTGGGCTGCCCCTGCTCAGGCAATGAGGCAGGCACACTCCGAGGGAGAACAGCCTGCACCCTTCACACGGCCCTGCACTCCAAACAAGGGACCTAAGTCACGGAGGCTCTTTCAAGCAAAGGAGACGAGTCGGCTGCTTGGACGGAGGACAGACTGACAGATGGCAGCTGAGGGCCTCCGCACCTGCTCCCGCAGCTGTGCTGAGCTGAGCCGGCCCCTGGTGGGCACTGCCTGCAAGAGGTCCGTGGGCCCGATCCCAAGAAACATCTGTTGGTTGCAGGGGAAGGCCCCCCCCTGCACACGCCCCCTCCACTCCTGATCCCCTCAGTTTGGTCCTCTGCCTGAAGTCCCACCATCCTGGGGCTCATTCCTCTTACCTCTTGATATTTTGGGGGTCCCCTGACAAAGGGAAGACACCTAACCAACTGGGAGAGGGAGCAGCCTCTCCTATGACTTCAAGGGCTGCGCTGACGTCTCTGGGTTTCTGGCGGCTTCTGCACGTGGCTCCTTTGGCGGTGCATGTTTACATATGCGTATGGGGTGGGGAAGGACGCTGGCCAACCATGGGGTTCTGGACCCTTCTCCTCCGGAACCCCAACAATCGAGCTGCAAGTTCTACCTCGGGTCTAACCCCAGCAGGCTCCCTGGCCATCGCTTGCTCACCAGCTGGTGGAAGGTGACGTGAGGTCCCTCGGCGTCATACAGGAACCACCAGGTGGCGGCAGCCACCGTGGCCAGGCCTACGTACACTACAGAGAGGGAGGAGGAGACGGGCTGTAGTGGACGGCATGCCGTTTCTGGCACCCACTTCCCTTCCCAGCGATTTCAGGAATTCCGCCCTCCCCTCTCTAAGCCATGCGCTGTGCAGGCACCTACCCTCGGTGCCAGTGGTGGGCCCTGATTGGCAGTCAGCGCCTGCCACGCCCTTGGCCACAGTGATTGGCTAGGGAGATAAACAGGTGACCCAATTTGACCCAATGAGAAGAAGCCCGAGACTTTTATATTACTAAGGGAGCTGTATGGTAAAAGGCTCTCTCTTCTGCTGAATTTGGGGTCATCATGGAGTGAGCAGGAGGGCTGGAGCTGTAGCAGCCATTCTACCACCCCGAGGGATGCCTGCTTGAGAACGCAGAGCCAAAATATGCCAGCGATACTGTCTGAGGCCTGGATCCAGCCACGCCTGTGGTGCGCTCTGTTCTTTTCAGTTGCATGAGGCCACGCGGTTTCTTTGGGCATGAGTCGGACCGAGCCACACTCTCTGCAGTTTGCAAGCCTGACACAAGGCTCGTAGCCCACAGCGGGCTGGGGCCCTGCTCACCTCCAATAGCCAGGTATCGGAAGAAGAGCCAGCCACTGATGAGGGCCTCTCGAGGGTTCCGGGGCAGCTTCTGCATGATGTCTAGGTCTGGCGGGTTGAAGCCCAGGGCCGTGGCAGGTAGGCCGTCTGTCACCAGGTTGACCCAGAGCAGCTGCACAGGGATCAGAGCTTCGGGCAGGCCCAGAATTGCCGTGAGGAAGATGCTGGAACCAGAGTCATGGGCTCTAACCCCCAGCAGGCCCGGGACCCACCAGACGGAGGGTCCAGCTCTTGCTCATACCGAAGGCCGGGGAGCTCACTCACTATCTCCACAGCAGCCCCTCCGCACTCTGCTAGTTCTGATGTGCGTGAGGGTGTATGTACATGGCTCTGCCTCACACCCACCAGCCCCACCTTCCCAGTGGACCCCAGACCACACACACTATGATCCATAGGTCACCAGGGCCTCTGGAGGATGAGGAGGTGTCCTCACCCCTGCCACCTTGAGGTGGGACCCTGGAGGGCCCCAGCCAGGGCAGGGCACCTGTGCCCCCATCCCTGCAGCCCTTCCCAGGAACAGGCATGCGCCCGCCTCCGGGACACAGAGCTGGTCCAGAGGGCTGGGAGCAGGGGACGCAGGGCCTCACCAGACAACCTCGCCCACGTTGGAGGAGATGAGGTAGCGGATGAATTGCTTCATGTTGTTGTAGATGGCGCGGCCCTCCTCCACCGCAGCCACGATGGAGGCAAAGTTGTCATCTGACAGCACCATCTCTGCGGCCGACTTGGCCACGGCAGTGCCTGAGCCCATGGCGATGCCGATCTCCGCTTTCTTCAGGGCTGGGGCGTCATTCACCCCATCGCCAGTCTGTGGGGCGGGTCAGGTATGGCCACGCCTGAGCAACTGCCCCTCCCCCCTCCATCCCCCCTCAACTCAGCCCACCCCCAATCTTGTGGAATGTCGCCAAGGAAGCTGACAGCTGGACAGAAAGAATGGTGGGTTTGAGAATGAACTTAGAAATTGGGCTGCGGATGAGGGGAGGGCAAGGGGTGCAGTCAAAGCAAGGTTGGGGAGAGTCTCACGTCTAAGGTCAGAGAAGATGATGGGATGGGATAGGGAGAGAGTGGGAGGATGATGAGGGCATGGATGAAATTCAGGTTGGACACGGGGTAGAAGATGAGCCTGAGGTTAAAAGATGAAGCTGAGGTCAAGACAGGGGTGAGGTCAAGGTCATGGAACAAGTAAAGGGTCAGGGAGGTACTATAGTAAAAGATGAAGGCCAAGTCAAAGTCATAAGCCAAGTCAGAGGTTATGGTCCACATTAGAAGTGATATCAAGGTCAAGGCTGCAGGCTAGATTGAAGTTGAGGTCAATATAAAACGCTGTGTTGGGGGGAAGGTGTCAAAGTTGATTTCAGGGATCAAGACTGGACCTGTATCAGGGCTAAGCTCAGAGTTAAGAGTTAGAGTTCAATGAAATCAATGTCAAGGACAGGGGCAAAGTCAGCACAGAGGTCAAAGGCAAGGTCAAGAGGCAGGCTGCAGGTGCAGTCAAGTCAAGGTTGGGGCTCAGGTCAAGCCTGGGCCAGGGGTCAGGGTTGAGGTCCAGGCAAAGGATGGGGTTAGGCTAGAGGTCAAGACTAATGACAGAGGTCGGGCCCAAGGGTTGGGCCCAAGGTCAAGAATCGGATCAGAACTGAAGAGCAGGTCAGCAGTCAAGAACGAAGACAGAAGGAAAACTGGGCCCAAACCAAACGTCCACCCAAAAGGTGAAAAGATAAACTGTGGCACATTCACGCTGTGGACTGACGCCCACAATGACGCAGACAGAGCTCAAAAGGAGGAAGCCAGACTACACGCCATGTGATTCCATTTACACAAAAATGCATCTAGGACAAGTAAAACTAATGTGTGGTGGCAAAAAGTCGGAGCAGTGGTTGCCTGTCCAGGACGGAGGACGGATGAGGAAGGGGCCCGGGGGGACTTCGTGGGTTGATGGCAGTGTTTCCTATCTTGGTAAGGATGTGAATTATACAGGGGTGTGCATGCACATGCTACCACGTTCATCAGATGACACTCTTACAATGTGTGCATTTCATCAAATGCAATTTTACCTCAAAAAGGAAAAAGAGAACCTTGCACAAAAATCTCTCTCTAGTTAATGATATGCATCCTAAAGTGCATGAGGCCGAAGTACACCACTGTCTGCAACTTCCTCTGAAATGCATTTTAAGAATAAATAGATGAAGGCCGGGCGTGGTGGCTCACGCCTGTAATCCTAGCACTTTGGGAGGCCGAGGCGGGTGGATTGGCTCAAGGTCAGGAGTTCAAAACCGCCTGAGCGAGACCCGTCTCTACCAAAAATAGAATAAATTAATTGACCAACTAAAAATATATATAACAAAAAATTACCGGCATGTGTGGCATGCCTGTAGTCCCAGCTACTCGGGAGGCTGCCGGCAGTAGGATACTCGAGCCCGGAGATTGAGGTTGCTGTGAGCCAGGCTGACGCCACGGCACTCACTCTAGCCTGGCACAAAGTGAGACTCTGTCTCAAAAAAAAAAAAAAAAGACATAAATAGATGGAGGCTGGGTGCGGTGGCTCACGCCTATAATCCCAGCACTCTGGGAGGCCGAGGCGGGCGGATTGCTCGAGGTCAGGAGTTCGAAACCAGTCTGAGCAAGAACGAGACCTCGTCTCTACTATAAAAATAGAAAGAAATTAATTGGCCAACTAATATATATATATATATGGAAAAAATTAGCCGGGCATGGTGGCGAATGCCTGTAGTCCCAGCTACTCGGGAGGCTGAGGCAGTAGGATCATCGAGCCCAGGAGTTTGAGGTTGCTGGTAGCTAGGCTGACGCCACGGCACTCCACTCAGCTGGGCAACAAAGCGAGACTCTGTCTCAAAAAAAAAAAGCATAGGTGGATAAGGCTGGATACAGGGTGGACAGATGGATGGATACGTGATGAACCAAATATAATCGAATGTGAACTGTGGAATCTAGATGATGATATGTAGATGTTCGCTATAAAATTATTTCAATTTCTCTTTGAATTTTTTGTAATAAAATGTTAGAGAAAAATAAGAATGAGGCAGAGGCGGGGGTTGCACGGGTTGCCCTCTCCACGCCCTGCGGCCCCTCGCCTCCCCACCTCCCTGGGCTCCGGCCTGGCCTCACCATGGCGGTGATCTCATCGAAGGACTGCAGGTTCTCCACGATGCGGGACTTGTGCGTGGGCTCCACCCGCGCGAAGCAGCAGGCGGTGCGGCAGGCGTGGCGTTGCTGCTCCGGGCTGAGGTCGTCGAATTCTCGGCCTGTGTAGGCCTTGCCCTCCACGTCCTCCGTGTCCCCAAAGATGCCCAGCCTGCGGCAGATGGCCACGGCCGTGCCTTTGTTATCCCCTGTGATCATGACCACTCGGATGCCCGCCTGGTGGCAGCGCGTGATGCAGGCGGCCACCTCGGGCCTCGGCGGGTCCAGCATGCCCACGCAGCCCACGAAGGTCAGGTCTGTCTGTGGGGAGGGAGCAGATGTGAGCGGGGCCTGAGCCCATCCCCGACCTGCCACCGGCCCAGCTGCGGCAGGGAGACGCCCGGCTCCCGGCACCCACCTCGTACTGCGCAAACTTGCTGCAGTCGTCCAGCTGCATGTCCTCCTTCCTCGGGGGCGCATCCCGGGTGGCCAGCGCTAGGCAGCGCAGCGTGTCGGAGCCTGAGCCCCAGTCCCGGATCTTTGCCAGGATCTGCTCCCTGGAGGTGGTGGTCAGGGGGGCTGTACGGCTCCCCACACGGACGGAGCTGCAGCGCTCGATCACACTCTCGGGGGCCCCCTGAGGAGTGGAGAGAGGGGGAGGAGAGGCAAATCCATCAGTCAGAACCCCGCCCAAATTGAGGAAACTGGGACCATGATATGGGGAAAGGCCATCCAAGGGTACACACAGCAAGGCATGGACCAGAACCCGTTCTTTGAAAGCTTCCAGTGGGAACCTAGTGGATCTCACTGTAAGAAATCATTAAGGGAATGGGGGGCGGTGGGACAGCCACCCACCAAGGGGCACCCTTCCCCTATCAGCCGACAGCTGAGAAGGCCCGCTGCAGCATTTGGGGGGCAGGGGTGGGAATGGTGTCCCCTGTAGGTCCTGCCTCCCTGCCTGCCTAGCATGACTGGGATTCCAATGCTGTAGAGGCCTCAGCAGCAGGAGGCAGGCTGGGCCCTGCCTGGGGACCAGAAGGAGAACCATGCAGAGGGTGTGGGGGGTGCAGCCTCAAGAAGGCAGTCTTGGGGGTGACAGGTGGCTCCACAGCCTCAGGGGCTCATTGTGGAACTCACCCCAGCCCCAAGAATAGCCTCTGAAATATTCCTTCAACGGCTTCTCCTGCTCCCAAAAGGTCACCCCAGACACTAATTTTTCAAAAGTGGCCGAAGCTCCCAATATAGAAGCCTTTCCATTTCAAAAAGGGGTTAAAACCTCCATCGCAGGATAAAGTTAGGGCTGGGATTCCTACTTCAGTTTTAAAGCAGACAGACATCTAGATAGGAGCTGGCTCCTTTCCCTCCTTGGGACTCAGTTTCCAAAACATAGAGCACCGAAGGTGGCACCAACCACCTCTAAACCATCAATCAAGGCAAACAGGCTTCTGAGAACTTCTAGCTCTACCCTGTGGTCCACATGGGGATATCGAGGCCCACAGAGCAGGATGAATGACCCCAAGGTCATTTGGCCAGGCAGTGACCCTCAGCCCAGAGCTAGGACCATGCAAGGGACTGGGCTCTGTCCCCTGGGTCTGGCTTATCCCCACTAGGCCTGGATCCTGCCCCCAGTTGCCTGCAGTGCGCTGAACACCCCTACTCTGATTCATCCTTGGACAACGGGCTCACACCTCCCCATGTCTCCTGTAGTTGCAGGTTCCAGTGTTGCAGAGGACTGGGACCAGGTCCCCCAGGGACCTGGGGGACTAGGGACCTGGACGTGCAGGGGCCCCAGGCCAGACAGGCAGGCCCCCACCTTCACAAACATCTTGCTGCCCGGGCCTGTGGGGTCGGGGCGGGTGGGTGTGCAGTACACCGACATGGACTTCCGGTCTCGGGAGAACTCGAGGGTGAACTCCTTCCGCATCAGCTGCTTGATGACCTGTGGGGTCCAAGCAAGTCAGGGCGTGAGGGACAGAGCCGGTAACTCTTGCCTGCTTTCTTGCCAGCTGTTTGATCATCCCAGAAGAGCCTCTTGCTCTGTGGGATGACATCTGTACTCCTCTGTCCTTGGCATTTGAGGCCTCCACCTGCCTCTCCTCCCTCCACCTTGCCAACAAGCTGCCATTTCCTGACCATACTGCATGCACCCCAACTTGAAGCCCTTGTCCACACTTAGCCTTTTCTGCTTTTCTCCCTAGCCAAGTGTTATTAAGGGTCTGAGGTCCTTCCTCCTCCCGGAAGCCTCCCAGGACTTTGCTCTCTTCTCTCCTTCTCCAGATGCCCCAGAAGGCCCAGCTATGCAGTGCGCAGCCTGAGCCCCCCAACCCTGCTCACTGCATTGCAGGCGCCAGCTCGCTCCACCCGGGACAGGGCCTGCAGGTCGGTGTCGAACACGTTCATCTTCTCCACCAGGCTAGTCAGAGCCGTCTCTGTGGCCTCTCCTACCTTCTCATACACGCCCTTGGCCTGGCAGGACAGAGGGACAGGGAGTAAGGGGCAGGTGGCCCCAGCCCGGTGGCCCCAGCCTCACTCACTCCTTGCCTCCTGGAGCTCCCTTTGCTGTAGTTCCTTGTAATCTCCTTTGCACAGTCCTGAGAGCCCTTCCCAGCCCAAATGTCCCAGGGTCAGGCTGGTGTCTGACACTGGCGCTCACCCACTACCCCAACCCCTGGTGTCACTGCTGCCCTCCACTGCCCTCTCTGGCCATGCTTTCTGAGGCTCCTTCACCAGGTTCTTCCATCTGGCCCTGCTCCTTCCCTCCCACCCGCTCTCCTTGAGACCCCCTCATGTCTCCTGCCTCCATCCCATGTTCGGGACCTCCAGTGCCCAGCCCAGCCAAGACCTCTCTCCTGAGCTCCAAGCCCACACGTCTAATTGCTGCCTGCTGGACCGTGTTCCCTGGAGACCCCTCGGGCCACCTCCTTCTCTCCCCATGTTTGCCAGCCCCAGGTGGGACAGCAACCAGGAGCTACCTTGACCTCCTCCCTCTCTTTTTCACCGAACCAGTCCCCAAGTCCCAGGACTTTTGGCTTCCAAACCTCTCCAACCCATACCTTCTCCCCTCTCCCCAAGGCCCCAGCCAGGGCTCAGCTAGCATCTCTCTGGCCTGGACACCCACACAGGGCTTCCTGGCTCCTGTCTTGTCCTATCCATTCTATCCTCTGCCCAGAAGCCTGGGTGATCTTTTGCACATGCAAATCTGACCATGTCACTCTCCTGCTCAAAACTCTTCAGTGGCTCTCTGCTGCCCTCAGCTTGGCATGGGAGCTGCCTTGGTCTGGCCAAGGACTTTTGCTCGGGCAGCAAGCTCCATTCCACTGCTTCAGCCACATGAATGGCATTCAATGCCCAAATCACACCAGGCTTTTACAGACGGAGGGCCTTTTCTAGGCTGTGACATCTGCTTTAAACACCCTCCCTAGTCCTGCCCTGCAATCTCTTCCCCCCGGGAAGTCCTGGCCCTTCAGCCCCTTACACTGCAGTCCCCCACAGCCCACAAGCCCGAGGGGCAGGGTTCTAAAACCACTCTGAAGAGTAGCAAGGGGTGGCAGTGGGGGGTGTGGTGGGGTGACCACACTCCTGGGGTGTGGTATTCCCAAGGAGCAGGGACTACCCACTCTGTGAGCTTTGAGACTGGGAAAAAGGTCTGTCCAGAGCGCCTGGATGCTAGAAAGGTCATGAAAGGGAGTAGGGGCCCACCTCGTTGTAGTCCAGCGCCGAGTCGTTGCACAGGGCGCAGATGGTCGCCAGTTCCACCAGCCCATCGAACTGCCCGCAGCGCACAGGCTGCTCCCCCTGCCGCCTGCGGAGCCCAGACCAGTCAGTACAAGCCCTGGCCCCGCCCCTGGGAGGGGCCCCGCCGCTCGTCCCCGCCCCCAGAAGGCCTCCCCAGAGCGCTCTGCAGTCCCATGTAGCCCCGCCCACCGGCCAGCCCCGCCCTCTTGCCCGCACTCACACTTCGCCCTCGGGGGTATAGGTGGTACCCGAGATGGTGAACTCGTGCAAACGGCAGGAGCTCGCTTCGGCCTCCGCTACCACGAACATCTGGGGAGCACAGGGGCGTGGCAGATGGACCGGGTCACCTCCTTCCTCCCTGGGCTGCCAGCTTGAATAAAGCCTGACCCCAGGGTGGGGTCCTGCAGGCTCCTGCCCCACTCAAGAGCCACCAGCACAGCTACCCTCCCCCTCCAGGGGGGAAGTAAAGAGTACAAGATCCAGGCTGAGGTGGGGAACTGTCTGCTCTGCCCAGGTGTGTCCAGTTCTGGCTTGTCCATTTGCCCTGGCTCCTGGGGGATTTAGGGCAAGTTCTTCAATGCTCTGGGGGCAGCTGCCAGCTTGAGGGACCCTGAGCTGCGCAGGAAGCCTGGGTCCTTGACCATCTCACTGTGACACCTGGCCAAGCACCTGAGCTCCAGCTTCTCCACAGATACCGAGGGGAGAAATCACGATAAGAGTCCATCTGCCTCTCCTTCTCCTTCAAGGGGAAGATTCCTGGCCTTCAAGGGAAGAAACCCACACCCCTCTCCGAGATGTAGTCCCTCCAGTCCAGAGATGTCCCCAGAGAGAGAGACCCTGCCCGCAGGGCCTGCTGCGTCACCCAGCCCTTTCCTGTGCACCTCAGGGACAGGGGCTCACCCCTCCCAGGGCAGCCTATTTCCTTGTTGCTAGGGAGACAGTTCTTGCTTCCCGGAAACTGCCTTGCTGCACGTTCTCAAGCAATGGCCAACCCATCACACAGCAGGAGCTTAATAAATGTCCCTTCCTTCCGGCTCTTCTCCCTGCTCCTGGGGGCAGTCCTCCAGCAAACATAGCCCATTATCCAGCACGTAAGGCCTCTACAACTTCTCTATACTGTGCTTTTAAAATCTTTATATATTGTTTTGGCCGGGCGCGGTGGCTCACGCCTGTAATCCTAGCTCTCTGGGAGGCTGAGGCGGGTGGATTGCTCGAGGTCAGGAGTTCGAAACCAGCCTGAGCAAGAGCGAGACCCCGTCTCTACTATAAATAGAAAGAAACTAATAGGCCAACTAATATATATAAAAAAATTTGCCGGGCATGGTGGCTCATGCCTGTAGTCCCAGCTACTTGGGAGGCTGAGACAGAAGGATCGCTTGAGCCCGGGAGTTTGAGGTTGCTGTGAGCTAGGCTGACACCATGGCACTCCCTCTAGCCTAGGCAACAAAGCGAGACTCTGTCTCAAAAAAAAAAAAAAAAAAATCTTTATATATTTTTTAATTTATCTTGTTTAGAGATGGTCTCACTATGTTGCCCAGGCTGGATCTGAACTCCTGGGTACAAGCGATCCTCCCGCCTCGGCCCTGAGTAGCCAGGACTACAGGCAAGAACCTCTGTGCCTGGCTTAAATCTTTATTTTAGTCAAGGAGCACTCTGTTCAAATAAAATTCTACTAGGGATTTTAGCAGGTCAGGGCTACCGCAGCCTCTGATGGGCTTCTACAGGGCCTTGGGGTCTCAGAGTACAGGGCCTGGGTTCCCAAGCCCAGCTCTGGCAGCTTGCTGGAGCAGGGGTGGGAGAGGAGCGATGGGGAACCGGGGAAGGGTGGGAAACCCGTAGCCGTCACCATCTCCCCACCCTCTGGCTGGGTCAGGAGAGGCCCTCTGCCCCACGGGCCTGCTGGAGTCTCAGCCAGCATCCCTGGAGCATGTGGGCAGTGGGCCCGGGATGTGGGATCAAGTGCCAGAGAATGAATAATTCCTGCTCTGGCTCTTCCCGGATCACGGGAACCAGCATATCTGGTGACAGGCATCAATTGCACAGAGTCATGATGGAGCGGGATAGAACCCGGGTCCAGGACCAGCGTGGCTTCTTTTATGGCTACCTGGCAGGGCTCACACACTCCTTCCCAGGCTGCCAGCAGCCCGGCCAGGGCCCCACAGTGACACACAGGCCCCAGTGACGTGCGTCAAGCCAGGCGTCGTCCGCTTTTCAGCCTGCCCCGTGAACACCCAGACCTGCTCCCCCGATCTATGAGACAACCCGCAGATTCTGCCCTCCATCCCTCCCCAGAAGGGAGGTTGGGGAGCAGCCCAGAGAGGGTGCCCAGCCTGCCCGGCCTCGCACAGCAACGCCACGCTGGCCGCAGCCACTCACCCTGCAGACAGACATCTGATTGGTGGTGAGTGTGCCCGTCTTGTCGGAGCAGATGACCGAGGTGCAGCCCAGGGTCTCCACGGAGGGCAGGCTCCGCACGATGGCGTTCTTGCGTGCCATGCGCCTTGTGCCCAGCGCCAGGCATGTGGTGATGACAGCCGGGAGGCCCTCGGGGATGGCAGCCACAGCCAGGGCCACGGCGATCTTGAAGTAGTAGACGGCGCCACGCAGCCAGGAGCCGCCGTGGGCCGGGTCGGCAAAGTGGTTGACGTTGATGACCCACACGGCCACGCAGATCACGGAGATGGCGCGGGACAGCTGCCGCCCGAACTCGTCCAGCTTGCGCTGCAGTGGCGTCCGCTCTGGCTCCACCGCCGCCATCTGGCTGCGGATCTTGCCCAGCTCCGTGTGCAGGCCCGTGGCCACTGCCACGCCCACGGCCTTGCCCGACGCGATATTGGTGCCCTGGCCGAGAGGGGGAGGGGGGAGGGGCTGCTCAGCACCCGCTGGGGCCCCAGACCTCTGGCTCCTTCAGGACGGAGCGGGACCCTTGTCCTCCTGCTTGGCTTTCTTTTCCTCCGTCCTGCTGGTGCTTCCAGACTTACGTAGCTCCCTGTGTACTGGGTCAGTGCTGCCTTCCCATGACAGGGTCGGCTTTAGGAAGGCAGAGCTTTGGTTCATCGCCATAGCCCCAGGGCCCAGCACTGGGCCTGGCACAGAGGATGCAAAACCAGGGCTGATATCAACACCGTGATTAACCAGCATGGCACGGACACCCCCCCACCAGAATGTGATCCACAAACCACCTCTGTAGCCTCACAGGGGTGTGGCTGACCATGAACTGAGGAAGACGGTCCATAAATATTCACCGCAGAATCCAGAAAACCTGAGCCTCAGCTTGTCTGTCTGCAAGGCCCTGGCAAAATCTCCAAGTCCCAGTGTAAGGGACAGCCTTGTGTCTCAGTGTCCTCCTCTGTAAAATGGCCCAACAGAGGCCCAAGCCACAGTAGCTCCAAGGAGGCTAATAACCCGGTGCCCCTCCAAATGGATATGCCGCTGGGGCTGGCAAGAGAGCAGGTGCTGCTGGCAGCCAGACCACCCTCCTCAGAAAGCTTCTTAGTGACACTGCTGACGCTTGGGCATGCCTCCCAGGGCCCCCTCCCACCCCAAAACAGCCTGCCCAGAGCTTCCATGCAACTAGGCACCCCACACTCCTCAAGAGGAGTTCTGCGTGAATATCACTTTCTCTGCTTCTCTTCGCTTCCAGGAATTTTTCTAGTCCCTTATAACTTGGTACCATGGGCCACTGTCTGACTGGCCTGACCTTTCCTTGTGTCCCCCCCTTCCTTATGTCCCCAAACACTCCGTACTGGCTTCAGTCTGCTGCTGGGCAGGTGTGAATATCACTTGCTAACTCTTCCTGAGGTCGCAGTGGTAGGTCTCTCCGACCAAAGCTGCACCCATGGCTCTCCCTTGAGAAGAGCCAGGGGGACCTGGCATCACGCCTTGTGTCAGTTTTCCCATCTGAGAAACAGACTGTTCCTCCACCACTTTCGTAACCCTCTTTCTTCTAGAAGGTTTTCTGGTGCATGATCACAGGTGAGCTCTGCCTCTCCCCAGGCTAAGGTAGGGTATCCTACCTTAGGGTAGGAAGAAAAGAGAAGACAAGCCCTGGAGACAAGATGTCTGAGTTCACATCTCAGCTCTGCCACTTGCTGGCTGTGTGACCTTGGGCAACTTACTTAACCTCTCTGTGCCTGCTTCCTTGCTGGAGAATATAGATAACAAGAGTATTTATTTCAAAGGTTTGTTGTAAGGATTAAATAAACTAGTATGTGTAAAAGGCTTAAAACAGCATTGGGTGCACAGCCTTCAGTAAATACAAGCTATTATTATTACTATAAATTTGCATGCATTGTCAATAATCTATGAGGTTCTTTCCAGTAGGACATTGACTAATTAATCTTAACGTTGTTATTTTTGGTTTCATTGTCTGGGCAAAGCCCCAGGTATCCTAGGGACTTACAGAAAACAGCATGTTCTTCTTGTCCTGGTTCACAGCTCTGGGGTCTGGGATGGCATCTGTGTGTTTGGTCACGGACACGGATTCACCTGGGCATGGAATCAGATATGAGAAGCCCCACACGAAGACACGCCCACCCCTGGCCCCTGGCCCTCCCCTGGGCCCCGGCTTCAGGGCCTCACCCGTCAGGATGGACTGGTCCACTCTCAGCGTGGTCGACTTGATCTCGATGAGACGGAGGTCGGCAGGCACTTTGTCCCCCACTGTGCGGGGAGAATGGCTTGGCTGAGGGTGGCTTGGGGCACCATCCCCTGGGGAAAGCCAGGAGGGCTCCCAGGAACCAAGGCTGGGGCCGGAAGGCAGGCGTGTGAGCTGTGGTCCCTCAGCGGGACTCCTGCCACCCTGGCCCGCAGTCTCATCTGTCCAACAAGGTCTGGGCCAAAGAGCTTCAGAGGGATCCGCCAGCCAGCCCCCCCTGCATACACAGCCAGAGACATGGAGGCACAGGGCGGGACGGGGCTCCCCAGCATCGCATACGGAAAGGAGGAGGCTCCCGGCATACCTGCCACTTCTACGATGTCTCCGGGCACGATGTCCCGGGCGTGGATCCTCTGCACGCCCTTGCGATCCGAGCGGACCACCTTGCCCATCTCAGGTTCATACTCCTTCAAGGCCTCGATAGCACTCTCGGCATTGCGTTCCTGTACGACACGAGGCAGGCAGGCCGTCAGTCCCTGCTGTCCCTGCAGGCAACCCCCTCCGAGCGACACCCTTGGGGCCTGGGCTGGAGCTGGAGGCAGAAGGCCCTTCAGGACTCCAGTGCCAGGTGCATGGCACAGGCAGCAGCTGGGAGACCCAGGGCCCAGGCCCAGCCCAGTGCCTCCCACCTGCCACACGCCCACGATGGCATTGGCCACGAGGATCAGCATGATGACCAGGGGCTCCACGAAGGCTGTCATGGTCTCCTCACCCTCCTCGAACCAGGCCAGGACCTGCGAGATCAGAGCTGGTGAGTCCGGGCTATGCTGGGGGCCGGGACCTGCTCTCCTTTTCCTTGTACCCTGGATCTCTTGTCTGCTCTCTTGTCAGCTTTGGGGCAGACACCCCTGGGGAGCCCTAGACTTGGAGAAGGCTACGCTAAGGAAAGCTTTGGCGTAGGATGCCCACCCCACAGCACAGCCCCCATCCCACCAGGCCAACCCCCAGGGGCGTGGGACAGCTGGGGACCTCACCCTCTGCCTAGGGCGGTGCTGCTCAAAGTGTGGGCCCCAGACCAGCAGCAGCAGCACCCAGGAACGTGATAGGAATACAGTTCTCGGGGCCCATCACAGACCCCCTAAGTCAGAAATTCTGGGATGGGGCCCAGTAATCTGTGTTTTAATAAGTGGGGTGAAGCTGATGCATGCTCCGGTTCCAGGCCCACATAATTCCAGCCACACGTCCTAGGCCTGGGAGGCCTGAGACCTGGCTCGAGTCCCATTGCCACTTCTTTTTTTTAAATTTTATTTGAGACAGAGTCTCACTCTATTTCCCTGGCCAGAGTACCATGGCATCAGCCTAGCTCACAGCAACCTCAAACTCCTGGGCTCAAGCAATCCTGCTGCCTCAGCCTCCCGAATAGCTGGGACTACAGGCATGCGCCACCATGCCTGGCTAATTTTTTCTATATATGTTAGTTGGCCAATTAATTTCTTTCTATTTTTAGTAGAGACAGGGTCTCGCTCTTGCTCAGGCTGGTTTCAAACCCCTGACCTCAAGCAATCCGCCCGCCTTGGCCTCCCAGAGTGGTAGGATTACAGGCATGAGCCACCGCGCCCGGCCCCATTGCCACTTGTTAGCCCAAGTGGGTACGCGCCACCCCTGTCCATGGGGGTCCATCTGTGCTGTGATGGGGCCCAAGCACTCTTTCGGCTCAGCCATTTGGGGCGCTTTCATGGGTAGTTTTTTGTAAGAGTCCCCGCTTTCCACAAGGACAGTGGCCAGAAGGGCCACACACCACTGGCTGGGCCCCTGACGGCCGCAGGGGAAGAGCCAGTCCCTGAAGTGCCCTGCTGCTTCACACTCTGGGTCACCAACGTGGGGTCTCCTCCCAGGCCCCGCTGGGTGGGGCTGGGAACAAGAACCACATTCCTAGGGTGGCGGCTTCCAGCCCTATGTCACCAGCCCGTGGGTCCCTGCTGCTCAACCATCGATGACAACCACGTCTCCCTCCCTACCCCTCCGCCCTGGCCCCGTGGTCCTGCAGGTCCAGGAGGGGCTGGGCCACAGGGATGGGGAGGAGCAGAGGGCAGCAGCCTCGAGGAGGCCGAGAGAGGCTCAGGCCTCCGAGCTCCGTCCCAGGAGCACCGGCAGCCACGGAAGGGGCACGGCAGTGGCACTCAACCGGGGCGATTTTGCACGCCCCACCCCAGCCCCCGGCGACATCTGCCAATGTCTGAAGACATTTTTGGTTGCCACAACTGGGAGGAGCGACTGGCATCCAGAAGGCAGAGGTCGGGGGTGCTGCTTGGCATCCTATAATGCATAGGACAACCCCCCCACCCCACAAAGAAGTGTCCGGAACGAAACATCAGCAGTGCTGAGGGAGAGAGACCCTGGGCCAAAGCAGGGGGCGCGGGGACAGCCTTGTGGTTGGAAGCTCGCGCTGACAGCCAGCGGGTAAGAGGGCTGGGGGCTCAGAAGGGAGCTGGGAGTCCAGGGAGAGCTGTGAGGGCTCAGGCAAGGGGAGCCAAGTCTGAGCAGGCCGGGGGTGGGGAGGGCCCAGAGACGCCAGGCTCTCCCTCCCGCGCCCCCCAGAGTCGCGGCTGCAGCCAGGGCCCTACTTACGAAGGAGACCAGGGCCGCCAGCAGCAGGATGCGCACCAGGAGGTCCTCAAACTGTTCCAGCACCAGCTCCCACAGGGACTTCCCTGGGAACAGGGGTGCTGCGTGAGGCTGGGCCCCCAACCCACCCACCTCCCCACTCAGAGCCGGGACGGCCTCGGAGACCTCCTGGCCCGTTCCCCCCCTGCAGGTTAAAGAGGGAGAGCCTAAGGCCCCAAAAGGCTCAGGGGGGCAATGCTGGGGGGCTGGGGAAGGCCTCAGTCTTTGAGGAGGGGGAAGTCACAACCTGACAGTGAGTGGCCCAAGGATGTCGCCCCCAGATCAGCAGCCCACCCCGACCCCGGCCTCACCTTCCTCAGTCGGGAGTTCTGCAGACGCGGCAGCCGCAGGAGCCGGGAGGAGAGAAGAGACGACTGGGTTACGAGGGGTCTTGGAGGAGTCCGGGCTACACCCCCCCCGACTGTGCCCCGCCAGACCCCCACCAAGAACTGGACATAGCCCCAGGGCTCTCTGGGGTCACAGATGGATGGTGGGAGCCCAGACGCTTCTACCCCTCCACCCACCCCACTCAGGCTGAGGAAGACCTGGGGCGGCTTGACTCACCTTGGGATGAGACCAGAGCCAGGAGGGCCCTTCCAGCCCTCCCAGTCCAGCCCCTCCCCCATTTCACAAAGGGGAAACTGAGGAATGGAGAAGCAAAGGGACCCTGAAGGCACACGGAGTCAGTAGTTCTCACAGCTCCCCTGCCCTGCTCGTTCTCGGAAGGCCGCCCAGTCCTGTTCAGTGCCCCCCGCCCCACGGCAAGGCAGCCCCCCTCAGATCGAGAGCACTGGCTCAGGCTCCTGCTGCTCACCCAGCCTCTGACGTCCCTGCTCCGTGGGGACGCCTGGACAAGGTGTCCCCCTGAGCTGCCCTCTGAGCCCCACCCCACCAGGGGCTTCCCCTTGGACCAGAGCACCCCCCCAGCAACGCCTGGACAAGGTGTCCCCCTGAGCCGCCCTCTGAGCCCCACCCCACCAGGGGCTTCCCCTTGGACCAGAGCACCCCCCAGCAACACCTGCCAATGTCTGAAGACAGCACCCCAGCAGCGAGGAACCCCCGGCCCTAGCCCCACACTACCCTTGGAAGAACGTTGTCTCCAAACACCAACAGCGCCTGCCTCACTCCGTGCTGATTTCTCACGCCCCACATTTGCTGAAGCACCTTTTGTACCAGGTCTCTGAATCATCCTGACAGCGTGGAGGGCAGGCAGGGTGGCACTCCGGCCCTGCTGCCCGGATGCGGGACTGAGGATCAGAGTGGAGACGCAGCTTGGGCAGGCCACACAGCGAGGACAGGTCTTCTGGGGCTGTGCAGGGGGCGGGAGCCAGGCCGCAGAGGGTGGACTGGGATGGGCTCCCTGCTCCGGGGTCACAGTGTAACTGAGCCCTGCTCCTGCCCCCCAGGTGGCTCAGAGGACAGTCCCCAGGTCTGCAGCATCAGCACCTCCCAGGAGCCTGCATTTAGCCATGCCAAACCTGAGCCCCCACCCTTGGCTCTTCCTTCCTGACACCAGAAACAGGTCCTTGCCTTGTCCACCTGTTTTTGGCCAGCGAGCATCTCTCCCCGCGGGAGCCCTGGCCCCAGACCACCTGTTTGAAAGGCTGGGGCTCCGCACCTGCCATCTGAACCACGGATAGCAACAAGCGGCTCACTGGACTACAGGAATCCAGGAGGGAAATAGATAACCTAAAAATACACTTTCTAGCATTTTCTCCAAAGCCCTATTTTAGGCAACGGCTGACATTTTCCGTGGAAAATGTAATCTCCAGTGTCCTGCGTCGAGATTAAAATCAAACAGACTTTTTTCCTTCTGATCTATTTAGCTGAAGCGAACAGGAAAGGCGGAGGGAGGGGGTGTGGGGAGAGAGCCAGGCCTGGTTTCTGGGCCAGTTCTGCAATGGAGCAGGGTCCTTCAGATGTCACCTCGGCCATGCCCCAGCTTCGAAACAGGGGACAGTGCCACACATCGGTGGCACACACCGGTGGCTTGTGCCTTGCTCTACCAAGAGACTCCTACAGCCCTTGTCTTTCCAGGGTTCCCGACCAAGGGCAGAGTTGATGCGTAAGTCCCACTTGAATCCCTCCTGCTGTCTCCCTAACCCTTCCCTCCGCCAGGCATGTATCCCCTAGGCCACGACACCCCTTAGGGCATTTATTCTGGGCAAGGCCTGCGGTTGGGAAGCATGTCACAGAGCACCCACGCCAGCTCTAGCGGCCCCCCGAGACCAAGGCGCTCCCCAAGATGCCTCCTGCCTGCTTTGGCCAGTCCCCCAAGTTCTCCTTCCTCAGCCTGTCCACACTGGGTCTCCCCTCCTGCCCTCTGACCCACACTGACCCAGGACCCACTCTTTGGGGGTCATTTATGCTGTTCCCCAAACATGTCTGGGTGTCCCCACCTTGTGGGCACATAGTAGGGATGCATTTCCTGGCCCTCGCGTGAGTTTCAGAGAAGTTTGCCTATTAGTTGCCAGCAGGTGTGAGACTCTCTCTAGGTCACTGTCCAGCAGAATTTTCTGTGATGACGGAAGAGTCCTCTATCTGCACTATCCAGGACAGCAGCCACTGGCCGCATGTGGCTATGAGCACTTGGCATGCGGCCAGTGTGACAGAGGAACTAAATTTTTAATTTCACTTAACTTTCATTCACTTGCATAGCCATGCGAGGTTAGTGGCCGGGTACTGGACAGCACAGGCCGGGGGCTCCGTGACCCTCTGCTATAGCGATGAGCGATCTGTGAGACGGTGTCTGCTCTGTCACCCTCAGTCACAGCGGGAGGAAGACACGGAGCCCCCCGACGACCAGCCTGTCACAGCATACGGCAGGAGTGAGAAGTGGGCCTTTGGCATTTTAAGCCACTGGGATTTGGAGGTGTTCAGTGCAATCAGCTATCTGACCCTGACTAATAGCCCCCTCTGCCCAGACCAGGCCCCCTTGCACCCCGCCCCCGGGGAGGCTCGGGCAGCCATGACGACCCAGCGGCTGCCCTGGCCGCCCTGCACGTGCCACAAGGCAAGGCTCTAGTCCTGCCTGGGCAGCGACTCCCTGTGGGACCTAGAGCCTCACGTGGAAGACGGGGCCCCCTACCCACCTTGAAGGGCTGCTGTGACCATTTTCATCATCATTACTATTAAAAACCACATTTATTGAGCACCCACTGTGTACCAAGCAATGTACCGGGTGCCTTATCCACATCACCTCCAAGAATAAACGGGAAGGCCTTGGGGCCGAGCACGTGAGACATTCGGCAGACAAGCACAGTAGACGCGGTGCTAACTCATGGGTACGTTATTCTCTCATGATCCCTCGGCAGCCTGAGGGGGAGGATGCCATTATTATTCCCATTTTGTACAGGAGACAACTGAAACACAGAGAGGTTGACTGACTAGTGCACGGTCACACAGCAGGGAAGAGGCAGGGCAGGGTTTGGAGCTCAGGCAGCCCGGCTCTCCACGCCCTGCTCTGGGCCTCCTGTGCTAACTCCTAGGCCGTCCTGCCTTCCCTCCGCTGCTCTGTTTACCGCCCAGCCAAGGTCACCTGGAAAAACTTGGCAGCCTGTGTCCTGACTTTGGGGCTGGATGTCCCCATTCCATCAATCATCCCACCCCTCTGTAGTGGCCCCAGAGCCCCCAGCCAGAACCGTCCCTGTCCAAAAGGCTCTGCTGTGCTCACGGGGGGTGTTGGGGGGGTTACTAGGCCCTGCCTGCTCTGGCCTGGTCTGCTTCAAATGTCAATCCCACCAAAGCCTGAAGGACCCAACCCTCCCCTCACACGGACGGGTCCCAGGGCCGCAGAGGAAGCGCCCACCCCGGGCATCCCTGGAAGATGCTGGTTCCCGCTTGCTATGTCCCGGCCACGTGCCGGGGGACTGAGCCACTGGGCCTTCGGCAGTGCCAGACGCTCCATTTGTTCAGTGGGAGGATGCCCCTGCCCTGGCCACCTCTGGGTGCCGTCTGCTGGGCTGGCCCAGGGCACACAACCTTCCCACGGTGACCTCTCCCAGCCACCCTGCTCTGGGTTGTGTTCCAGACTGAGCCCACGGAGGACCAACGTGGGCCGGCCTGGAAGAGCCTGGGATGTTAGCCTGTGGGTCCTGGGGACAAAAGGGATGTGATCAGAGCAGCTTTGTGGCTTAGAGCAAGGAATCTGGTCCAGAGGGCTTGGGTTCAAATCCTGCTCTATCCCTTGGTAGCTCTGTGGCCACTGGCAAGGCACCTAATCCCCTGGGTCTGTTTTCCCCATCTGCAAAAAGAGGGTGATAATAGTAATTATAAGGATGGGATGAAGATTAGGCGACGTGCATAAGGCGCTCTGCAGATGCACAGCACACGGTGAACAAGCTCTGGCCACATCACAGTGACTAGAACACGAGCCCCAGGACAGCAACACGTTAACTGCAGCTCCTCCAGCATCTGGAACCGTGCCTGGCGCATAGTAGGTGCTCAGTACAAAATTGCAACCAACGGATGACGCTGCCTCTGCCCTGCTCGCAGACCTTCACGGCTGACCTTGGCCTACAAAATGAAGACCAACCTCAGCATGCCCTTCAGAGCCTTCCTGGACCTACCCCAGCTCGCCCTTCCAGAATCATGCCCGTATCTTGGACATGCGTCTGTCCCTCTGCCAGCCAAGCCTCAGGATTGCCACCACTCCCCTCTTGTGTTTTAAAAAATATTAATATTGACAAATCATAACTGTTTACATTTATGAGGCATAATGTAATGTTTTGATGACCTCCACGTTTTGCTAAACCTTTTCTTCCTCTGATATTTTGCTTGCACCATTCCTTCCGTCTAGATACCCTTCCCGTCTCATCTAAACCCCTCCCTCTCAGGAAGGTTTCCCTGAACACCCCCCACCAATGTCACCTAGCCCTTCTCTGACAGTCAGTCAGTACTGGGCTGCCCCCTACCCCCGCCCCCCAGGCAGCTCCAGGGCGGCAGGGGCTGAGTCATCACTGGGTCCACACCAGGCAGGTGCTTAGCGATTGTTTACTCAGTTGCTCCTGGGTTCAGGCAGCCAGAGCTGGGAGAAGGAGCTGGGGAGAAGGGGGCGCAGGGCCAGGGCTGCCTGCGGGCTGCCCCCAGGTACCACACACCACCTGCTCCCCTAATCCCCCACGACTCCTTCCTTCTCGCAACATTGGAAACTGGTATTTCAGCTTCTAAATGTCAGTTCTACCTGGGAGAGGCAAGTACTCGCTGAGGTCTTCCTCAAAGGTAAATTTACAAAGCAATTAAATAGTCACTTGCAGAGTCAGGGAGAGGCCCTGGCTGGGCAGAGCCGGCCAAGCCCACCTGGCCCTGCCTGTGTCTCCAGGGTCCACCAGAGTGGACGGCCCGGCCCTGCTGTGCGGGGGCTGCCGCAGGGCCCTGGGAGGCGGCTCTCTGCCCCGCAGAGGGGCCTGGCAGCACCTGGCTCGCCTGGAGCTGGACGCGAAGGGTTTGCTCAACATCTGTGTGTCCAGCTGCACTGTGGGGCAGACCTGGCCCTGCCTCGGGGGGCAAGGGGTGAGGGGGTCCAGCTGGGGCAGGCCTGATGCTGTTCCTGGGGGGTAAAGCTGCCCAGCAAGGGCCAGTGAGCAGGAAAACTAGGG